GGAAAGAGTGACTTTGTGTTACATTAAAATTTTATATTTGTCTATCACCAATATATACCCAATGTTGGTCCCAGCTACGTACCTAGGGTCTTGGAAGGGGTAGATTGGATACAGTCCTAACCTTTGGCATTTTTCTCTCCACACTGAGTGGCCGCTTTCAAACTCAAACCTGCCTTCTCACACTTGCCAGCCCGAGATTTTACCATTACACCAAGTAATGATACAAAGTTAAAAAAAAGGCTAAAAACTCATTAATTAAAATCTCATGTGAGATGGAGATTGGAAAGAGTGACTTTGTGTTACAATAATCATAGACAAACACAACATTTACAAGATATGGGACTGAGATGGAAGCTGTGGCCAGTCACCAAAATACTGATAGAGAAGTAATTACAGACATAATTAAGAGAGTAGAGGCATTCATTAATTTTCTATGTGTTGCATGTATATATGCCTACTCCTTAATTTGTAAGGTATGAGGAGGGAGGGGGGGGGGGTCCAAGGCCGGGTATACCGACTAGAGAATAGTCCTTCGCTGGTTTAGCTTTATTACAGTGTGCTTTGAGAGTGACGTTAGAAGAATGGGTGGTGATCAATTGTGTACCCCTTGACTCTTTCCGGTACGATATTACTGTTCCACATACACCAAGCATGTGGGGTGGGCGTGAGACAACAACGGTTGAAGGGTCACCTTCCCATCACATAGACACCAAATATCTGTCTACCCATCTAACTGGGTGATTCCTGCATATTCCTTTTCTTTTCTTTTCATCCATGATAGCGTCCTTCTGTCCTTTCAAGGGAATATAACTGTTGGGATTGAAGCCTTTCAACTATCGGATTCATATATAGAATGCAATGTGTTCCACATCTGAGATATACAGTGGACTCCCCAGGAGGACAATGAAGTGATATTTTGTTGATAGAACATTGAACCTAGCTGCAGTTGATTAATTAGTGTAGTTCAATGAAAGAGCTTGCAAATATATACACAACTCATCTTCTTCTTGGTGTTATTCTTTTGTACCGACTCTCTTTTGAATCATCTCTTGATATATACACATATATAAAGCACAATGGTGGGATCGGACATGATTCCTGTAAGGCAGACCCAATTCAGTTGGGGTTGAGATCGAGTAGAGGACCTGAGGAATGTGGTGATCAGATGATAGATATATAGGATATTATGCGGTTGATTAGCTAGCCTAGCTAGTCTTCTGAAATTCCTTCATATATATTATTCACCCATTTAGTACTCTATTAGCAAATGGGTTGCTTTCAGGTTTCAATAACAAGAGACTGGGCCACTTTTTTCTTATGATACAAGGGAAAAGGAAAAGAGCTACACAGATGATTGCTAATTAAAGTCTATTACCCAATTTTGATCCCGGCCATGCATCTGGGGTGCGTCTTTGGGAGGGATGGAGTAAATCTACAGACACATACAACCCTTTTTTGTCTTTTTTTTTCCCCATCTTCCAATCAAACTTGAACCCAGGCTCTCATGCTTATCAGTCTGTGGAGACAAGATAATTCGACCCCAGAAATCTTAAAAGGTGATACGACTGGTGCTTCTCAACAGACTTTATCTCCAGTTAAGTCTTCTTTCGCTA